TCTCTTGTTATTATACTATTTTTTTTTTTGACGTTTATTTGCCTTGAGAGAGAGAGAGAGAGAAAGAGAGAGAGAAAGAGAGAGAGTCCCAAGCAGGCTTGTGTTGTCAGTATGGAGCCAGATGAGGGGCTTAATCCCATGAACCATGAGATCATGATAGAGAGAGGGAGAGAGAGAGACAGACAGACAGAGAGCGAACGCATTAGTAGGGGAGAGGCAGAGAAGAGGGAGAAAGAGAGAGAGAGAGAGAGAGAGAGAGAATCTCAAGCAGGCTTATGCTGTCAGCATGAAGCCAGATAAGGGACTTGATCCCACGAACTATGAGATCATGAGAGAGAGAGAGAGAGGGAGGGAGGGAGAGAGAGAGAGAGAGAGAGAGGGAGGGAGAATCACAAGCATGCTCACACTGTCAGTGTGGACCCAGAAAAGGGGCTCGATCCCACAGGCTATGAGATCATGATCTGAGGCTAAATCAATTGCTAGATGTTCACCAACTGAACCACCCAGACACCCCTATTATTGTTTTATATTAAATTAGGGCTTCCAGATAAAACACAGGTTGTCCAGTAAAATTTCAATTTCAGATAAACAATGAATACTTTTAAAAAGTTATATATTTTTATGCATATATTTATGAAAATATTCATTGTTTATTTGAAATTTGAACTGAATTAGGCATTCTGTATATTGATTTGCTAAACCTGGCACCCCTCTCCCTCCAAGTAAATGCATGGGGACACCACTTGTGAAACAGGACTTTTGGCTTTTAGGCCCCTTCGTTTTCTTTCTTGGAAGATGGTTGAATTTTCTTTTCTTTATTCAATCTCCTTATTCTGCAGGTCTACCTAATATTATAGCATTATATTAAAAATTTTACCTACTTGGGGCACCTGAGGGGCTTAGATGATTAAGTGTCTGACTTCGGCTTAGGTCATGATCTTGCAGTTTGTGAGTTCAAGCCCTGCCTTGAGCTCTGGGATGACAGCTTGAGCCTGGAGCCTGTTTGAGATTCTGTGTCTCCCTCTCTCTACCCCTCCTCTGCTCATGCTCGCTCTCTCTCTCTCTCTCAAAAATAAAATAGAAAATAAACATTAAAAATTAAAAAAAATTGACCTACTTGACAGTAGCATCAACAGAATATAAGAGCATTTATTTCCCTCTATCCTCATCAATGTCGCATAGCATCAGTCTTTTAAGTTTTATTTATCTTCAGGACAAAAAGTCTAAGAACTGTCGGTTTAAAACACTTCTTAAATGAGACAAATGTTTCTTTTGTGGTGCCTAGCATCAAGGCTTTGTTTCAAAATAATTTAAAATATTATCCTATATTGTAAAAATGTGCACAATGAAATGTAATGATTTAACTAGCCGTTTTTACATTTCCACGGTGGATTTCCTAGCTTCTTCCAATAAAGCTGAACTTTTCTGTGCATACTCAAGTCAACACTGAAGAATTTCAAATTAGCTTTAGTAAAGGCAAATATTTGTATTTAAAAAGAAAATATTTTAACCTAGAACTCATTAAGATAAAAAAGTTAATAAACTGAAGATGTCTTGTTAGTCGATGCCCCTCAAGGCACCATCTAAGTCGGATAACTTAACACGGACTCAAGCTGTACTTCTACCAGTTCTATGTAACCTTGTTTGTAACGACTGCAATAAGGGATTTTTTAGAAACCTAGTCTCTTTAGTCAGCGTTCCCACAAAAAGCTGCCGAAAGAACAATTTCTGCTCAGTTGTTTTTTCCTTTGCTTAAACAAATTAAAGTGCCAGGAATCCCACCCCATCTCGCTGCTGGATAATAGTCAATCATTTATTATTCCTGGATCAAACACAAGCATACATGCCTATGAAAACATTTTGCAATGAATGGGATCTTGGTCTGTACTAAAAACAAAACATGGCTTAAAAAAGGGATTTCGATTTATTTTCAAATTCTGTGGCTAAATTCCTATAATTCCTAACCGGCAGAAACATTGGCAAGCCGCTACATTTTACTTAGGATCAGATTTACTTCTTTGGTGTCTTCCCAGAGATGCTATTGGGAGCTATTTGTGGCTAGCTTTTTAAGAGACCAGGTAGGTCTTGAATGAAATGAGTACTGACACTGAGGTACAATCCACAAGGAAAGGCCGGAGAGAGAGTTGAATATCCTTAGTTTTTTTTTTTTTTGATAACTAAGCATAGCCTGTTTTTACTTCAAAGTTTTTATATTTGGCAAACCAAAAAGGTTGCTTTTCTTAAATGACCAAACTTAGAGCTGAAGCCTTTCTTTTTATTTTGATATTAGACCAGGAGTTATATATCTTATCAAAGCTCTTACCTAATCAAGTAATTCAATCAACCTCATCAAATACAATCACCATCAATCCACACATACTCAGTGATCTTCCTTTCCTCAAGCCTCAGCAGCCCTAAACCTAAATAAGCCTCTAGAACCAATACATCTCCCAAGGTAATCAATTCCCCCTAACAGCGATCAAAAGCCCCTTAACCCATGCTTTCCCAGCCATCCAGTCAGCCACAGACTATGGTCCAGCAATCATCTATGAAACAAACATCATTGTGGTCAATCCAATGATCTTTCAAAGTTTAGACATTCTGATTCTTTACATTTGGGAATGGATTCCTATATTGTGTGGTACCGTAGTCATAATTTTTTGGAAAGACTGATGACCTAGGTCAAAGAATAATTTTCCTCAGTTTTTTGTCATCTTGTTCCTGTTGATGCATTTTGTTTTTCTTGAAAGCGGGCCAGCAGACAGGTGGCTGACTTTGAAATGCAAGGAAGGTGAAATCGGAAGGTGGGAGTAGAGGTAGCCATTATTCCTAGAGAAAACAATGTACCTGATTTTTACCTTAACAATTACATTAGGATCATGTCATTCATAATATCAAAAGATATGGCTGCCACTACTTAGAGGAAAAACAATTGAGCAGAGGACAGCCTAACAAGAAGGTGGGCTTGGTCAAAAGTGTGTCTCTGTGCCAGTCTGATCTTGGTTATCCTGGGGAGATAGAGTCAGCTTAGCAGCGTCATTATTATTTCCAAAGTATTTTCAGAACTGTCACATTCTTTCTATTGTTGGAATAAACTAGATGGTGCTCTAGGCACAGTTCAGCACGTGGCAGTGGGGTAAAGTTGGGTGATATGGGCTCAGGAAGAAGGATGGAGAAGACTCAGGGCATCAGAAGAACTATCTTCATATATCAGAAAGAAAGAGATTAGGTGCATCTCATGTAGAGGCATGAAACTGAATTAGGACTAAACGTAGAAACTATTAGAGGATATAGTTTAGCATAACTCAAGGAAGAATTTGCTAGAGTTGAGTGAAACAGCAAAAATCTGGAAGTATTGAATTCTTTGTCACTGGAGGTGTTCCAGCAAACGCCGGTTGACTGGCGTCAGGGTCACTGGAGAGGAACTCCATGCATCCTGCAGATAGGGTTGAACAAGAAAACCCTAGCTTCTTCTAACAATGCTATTGCACGCCTGTGCTAAGTGTCTGAAGTTTTCTTAAATGGCCGCTAGATGTCACGTGTGCATTTGCAATAGCAAGATAGTTTGCTGTGGAACTGTAGAAATCAGGAAGAGGACTAACATAAGGAAGTGAATTTTTATGAACAAAACATGCATCCTTAAACAATTCATTTTGAATAAAGATAATAAAACTTAAATATCACTTGAAGCAAAAACTTCCAAGATCTAATCTCAAAATTGGATTGGCTCTCGAAATCCTTTTTAACTAAGTCTGTCAGTGTTCAAAGAATTTAATATAACTTGCCCTAAAACTGCTTCTATCCATCCACAACCGTCTCTGAAACTCTCATTCATCTTGTCTATTATTCTAGATAGGAACTGCGTCTTGCTTGCTCTTTTCCATAAAGTGCGCGGCACAGTGCAGCATGCGTATTATTAATACCACCACCACCACCACCAATACTACTCTCTTGTAGTTCTATTGTGCTCACCATAAATAAGCACTTATTTATAGTATCTTATCTAATTTGTCTAAAATCAAATGGTTAGGTTTTAAAATATGGAGATAAAATTAAATAAAATAGACTGAGAAAGGTTAAGTGACCTGGCCAAGATCAGAGGTAAGAAAATGCGTCCCAGTTTTTATTGTGCTGAGCTATTGGAGGCTTAGAAATGCTAGAGGTTTTACATCTCTTGGACACAGTGTGCTTGAACATATTAAAGACTTTGAGAAGTCCTGGAACAGAGAAATGTGTCAAATTTGAGCCCGCTGAAGTCTTCGAATATTTTTAGCTTCTGTCTCTTTATCTGTCTTCTTTTCTTTCTTCCTTCCTTCCTTTCTTTTCTTTCTTCTTTTTTGAGAATCTGAGTTATTATATAACAGAAAACTAGCTTTCTATTGAAATTGTATAAGTGGTAAACATCAGATTCAAACTCTATACTTCTTGAGTTTAACTTACAGGAAATGTTTCATAATGTGAAGTGCATTGAGAAAAAATAGCTTCAATTTTCTTATAGCTAAGAAGCATTTCAGTTTATCAGATTAGATTATTTCCACCCAAAAGCTCTCTATGTGGAGACCTTGTCTTTGTTCCCTTCTTGATACCTCAGGTGAACTGAATCTAGTAATGAAAATTTTCACTTCCTCCTTGTTCCTTTGGCTGTCCTAGGGAGTCCAGATGACAAGTGGCTGTGAGAGCCCTCTCTATGTACTGACTCTGTAGCTTACACACTATACAGACCATTCAGCTTGCTCTAAATGTCCTGTCACCTTGGTTTTAACATGTGTTCAGAGTGTCATCAGACATAACATTAGCAATTTATTTTATGGCATCTATTGAAGCTCTCAGATATTGGGCTAACACTCGAATGATACAACCTGAAAAGTTAACACATTCTCTGAAAATGGACTTAAGGGCAAGAGATCATATCAGTTAACATGACCAGATTTGTGAGTGGGAGCTGTAATGATCAAAACCCTTGCTCCACATGGTAAAAACCCAGGAGGACCCCTCCTCCATCACTGGCTGAAGTATTTCAGAGCCACCAGGTTCCTCACAGCAGCCTTCACGTCATTGTTCCTGAGGCTGTAGATGATGGGGTTGAGCATGGGGGTCACCACCCCATAGAAGAGAGGGATGAGCTTGTCTGAAAGATCCTCTTTGTCTGCCCCCTGGGGATCCTTAGACTTGGGCTTCCCATACATGACAAATAAGGTCCCATAGAAGATGACCACCACAGTGAGGTGGGCAGAGCAGGTAGAAAAGGCCTTTTTCCTCCCCTCAATGGAGGGGATCCTCAGGATGGTGGCCATGATGAAGATGTAAGAGACAGAGATGAACAAAACTGGGACCCCCAGGAAGATCACATCGGACACCTCCATGCTGATCACATTGATGGTGATGTCAGCACAGGACAACTTAAGGACAGCCAGGATCTCACAGGTGAAATGGTTGATGACATTGTCCCCACAGAAGGGAAGCTGAATTGTCAAGGATGTGTGTACCACAGAAGCAGCTCCACCGATTGTCCAGGAGCTGACAGCCATGGACACATAGACAGACTTGCTCATGACCACAGCGTATCTCAGGGGGTTACAGATGGCCACATAGCGATCAAAAGCCATCATGCCCAGAAGCACACACTCTGTGGCGCCCATGGTAAAGGAGAGGAACATCTGCACAGCACAGCCTGAGAAGGAGATGGTTTTCCTGGGAGTGAGGAAGCCGTCTAGGAGTAGAGGGATGGAGGTGGTTGTATAGCAGATGTCCAGGAAGGAGAGGTTCCCCAGGAAGAAGTACATGGGCGTGTGCAGGCGGGAGTCAAGGATGGTCACCAGGATGAGGACCCCATTGCCCAACAGGATCACCACGTACATCAACATGATGAGCACGAAGAACGTCTTCTCCAGCCTCGGGTGGGCAGAGAGTCCCAGGAGAATGAACCCCACCACAGGGGAGGACCAATTGGCTTTTTCCATGTGATATCCCTTGTGTCATCAGCAAAGTACAAAAGCAGCACATCAGGCTTTCTTGAGAAGAGTCTCAGGCATCTAGTATGCTGTCAAGTCTCTGCTACAAAAAGGAGAGCATGTGTGTGTTAGAGAAACCTGGCTGTAAGAGACAGTAGGTGGGCGCGTCCGTAGCTCTTAGATCTGAAAAGGTCAGACCAGAACACAACAGAATCTCCAGTGGACTAGCACTGAGGGAGAGCCTCAAATATTCCAGCCAACTGTGAGCCAGGGTTTTTCTCATGTTGCATCCTCATTGCCCATAAAGTAAATGAGACCCCGAGAGGGGGAGTGACCTGTCTTAGTCTTCTGAGCAGGTTGGCGATAGAAGCAGGATGGAGGCCAGGAGAGCTAATCCCAGTGAAAGAGGACTTTTCCTCTGCTTTATGATCAACAGCTGGAATAGGCTGTCAATCATTTCTTTTTAATGTAAATGCATACAAGTTTCATTTAATCTGGGCTTTGTTAGATTCTCAGGGAGGAGAATCCCCAAGCTGCTCCCATTCTTAGAACCAGCATATTTTCAAGCTTCTGAAAACGTTGATAACATTTGCAGGGAACTTGTATAAAAGTGTGAATCCACATCCACACAGAATGAAGCCCAGGTATAGGTTAAGCCGTGACAAGGGTTATTTCTTCAGCCTGCCCACCCTTAGTAACACAGACTTGAGGGTCATCAGAATTGAGATCTGCCTATTTTTATACACATTAATAGCCATATGGGGGGAAGTTCCTGAAAGGGCAGAGATTTCCAGAGTCACCACAAGGATTAATTTGAGTTATTGAACCCACACAATGGCATGACTATGCAGCTCGCTGACTGGTTAACACAATTCTTACTATCCATGCTGACTACAGTAATCAGATAGCAGGAAAAATAGCTTTGACTTCTAATCCAGCTCATTAGAATCTGGTGACATTATTAGCCCAGAGAGAGTAAGGAATGTTTTCTCTTTGTTTGTATGTTTATACTCTCTTGTTGTGAATATTCAGCTTCCGGGCCTCCGTTCTTGTGTTCCACACAAGCAGTGAGCTTATAGAAAGACCGGTCTGCCTTTGTATAGAGGATTTCCAGTCTCCCTGCTGCTATTGCTCACCCTCTATATTCAGAATTCCATTCATCATATTTCTATAGCTCTTTCTTAATAGCAATGGTGCATGTGTGTGTGTGTGTGTGTGTGTGTGTGTGTGTGTGTGTATGTAGGAGTGGGTGGATTGTAGAACACAAGTGGTTAATATTCACAAACATCTATTCTGTGCCATATTCTTTGAAACACCTCACAGAAAAGATACTATCATTCAAGCTTTATTGGTGAGAGTAACCAAGGCTAAGAGGAGCCAAAGTTTTGGTACCTAAGATTGAATGTCAAATAGCTGCCTCTCTCTTGCACAGATGTTTAGAAGAGTCTGTCTCTGCCACAGCAGCTCTGTGTATTCTCTGATCCGCCTCACTGTCCAGCACACTCTTGCTTCAGTCACGGTAGGAGTTTATGTCAGATGCATTGTCAGACAGAGTAGGCCCCACCCCGGATTGAACCCAGACGCTCTCAGACTGGGCGCTGTGGACATTTAGGACTGGAGAATTCTTTGTTCATAGGGCAGGGGGTGCCCTGTGCATGATAGGATGTTTACCACCATCCCTGACCTCTGCGCACCTGTTGACTATAGCACCTGATCCTTGAGTTGTAACAACCCAATCTGTCTCCAGACATTGCCAATGTTTCTGAGAGGTGGAGGGGGTACAAATGTGCCCAGCAGAGAACCAGTGATCACACCCAGAGGTGTGCCCCATTATACAACCATGGGTTTCACTGTCTTTTCTGTGCAAGCCTATGACCCTTTCCCATCTCTCTCAACACAGCACAGGAGGGTGTTCCCATCAGCTCAGAGCAGGCCCACTCTGGGTGCTCCACCATGAAATTCTGCCCCAGCTTATCTCCCCTTCCTCCCAGTGGCTCTCCCAGACCCTCCAGAAAATGAAAAGTAAACATTACAGTCAGTGCCACAAGCAGGATTCCATAGTGACAAGGATATGCTGTGATTGCAGAGGCCAAGGACAGTGGCTCTGGTGAGAAGCAATACTGTCTATTCTCATAAGCCAGGGCTGTGCACACAGAAGCGTCTCCCCATGAACGATGTGCAATGGGCCTGAGTGCCGCATGGGATTTGCCCCGTGTGAGAGCTGCAGCCGTGGAAGTGCTAGTGCCAGTTGGAGAGGTGCTGAATGAAAGCTGCTTCAACTGGAATGAACTGAATGGCTAGAAAGATCTTGTGCACTGAGCCCAGAGCTATAGGACCTGCCCTTGCCAGTGACATGAGTATTCTGGGTGGCTTGAGTGAGTCCCTAGGCCTCAGTTTCTCCATGTGCATCATGAAAAGCCTGAACAGGTGCTCCCCAGATCAACCCAAGTGTGTCATGGATTGCTTGAGCTGTCCCCACAAGCAGGGAGCAGTCTGTGGTGAAGCTGACTGCCTGCTCCTTTGGGCTTGTGGTATTGTGTGTGTGTGTGTGTGTGTGTGTGTGTGTGTGAGTGTGTGTGTGTGTGCTCATTTCTGAGGGGGAGCTCTGAATGCTTGCTCTCCCATCATGATATGGCCAGCAGGGAATACAGCCATATCAGGCTTTGGAGACTTGGGTTGGATGAAAAGAGGGATGTCAGAGACCTACAAACCCAGCTGGGCAGGAGTCTGCCTGGAAGAGGAAGGGAAGGGAAGTTTTTACCTTTGTGGCTGCAGTCTGCAGGTATGGTGCCTCTGCTGTCAGGGACTGGGACTTGCTTGTGCTTTGGCCCCTACTTATCTCTGGAGCCAGCAGGCAGCTGAGGAAGGAAAGGGGACACAGTGTAGTCAAGAGCCCCATACACTGTCATCTGGCCTCCCTGGAGAGCAGTTTGCCTTGAAAAGGGAAATACCTGGAAAGCCCCCATAACTCAGCATTTCTACCTCTGGAAAAAAATTCTAATGAATCAATGAGATTAGAGGGCTGGTATCACTCAATAAAGGCATTTATCACAGCCATGTTTGTGAATGAATGTAGGAAACAAAATAATTGTCTACTGATGAATACCTAATGATGCCGTTTCATAGAATGGAATGTGAGACATTAAAGTTACATGTACAGGGGACCTGGGTGGCTCAGTCGGTTGAGTGTCCGACTCTTGATTTGAGCTCAGGTCCTGATCTCATGGTTTGTAGATTCAAGCCCCACATCAGGCTTTGAGCTGACAGTACACAGAACCTACCTGGGATTCTCTCACCTCTCTCTCTGCCCCTCCCCCTGCTCCACGTGTGCTTCTCTGTTTCTTCTTTGAAATAAATATATAAACAACAAAAATTTTAAGTTACATTTATAATTTTATACTATTATATCTTCATACTATAATGATAAAAGCGAAAATACCAAATTGTACACATTGCTGTGATCTCGGTTAGGAAAACAATAGGTGTGAATAAAAGTGACTGAAAAGAAATTAGAGAAAAATCAAAGGGATTCATTTTGTACCTTTGCAATATTATCAAATATTCTAATAGTATGGGCACAAATTGGATTCAGGGAAAAAATTCTCAGTACAGCAATTCTCCCTCTCCCGAACTGACAGTTTGCTTTCTGAAGTTTCAAGTCCTTCCCCACCACCACCTCCAACTGCAGTCGGGAAGCAGAAGATGATCTTTCTGACACACGGTCAGGAAGTAGAGGTGCCCTGCGCTGCATCCCAACCCCTGGCTCACTCACCTCACACATCTCATCGTGTGGGCATTTGATCATCTTGCATAGTCACAAGAAGAAGCAGAGGGCTCAGCATAATGAGATACTTGGGGAGAGAGACCACACTCACGTAACTTTTATTATGATATTTTGTTATAATCGTTCTATTTTATTATTGATGATTGTTAATCTCTCCCTGCATCCTGCTTGCAGCCACTTCTGAGTCCCCTCACCCCAGACCCCGTTCTCAGCTCCACACGGTGCCCTACACCAGACCCTGATGCCAGAGAGAGAGACCCCAGACTCCCCTGCTGGATTTCCTTTACCTGTGAGACCCTCTTTTTTCTTCTCCCCCGTAAGTCCTCATGGGCACATTAGCCTCTGCTGGTGTTTCTCTCCCATCCTTCCTCCTAGCTGTGCAGGCTGACCGGGCGTCTCAGGTGCAGACGCTTCACGGAGAGCTCCTGTCCTCTTGGTCCGAGGCCCAGAAACCCCAATGGCACATGTTCCCCAGCAGTGGCAGGAGTCCTCGAGCAGCAGCTGTGAGCTCCTACAGGGACCCTGTTAGTCCCAGAAGCAATTTAAAGTTTGGAACGTCAAATGTGCGCGGGGTACAGGCCCTAAGCATAGCTGGGGCCTCCAGGGACCACACCCCCGTCCAATTAGAGGTAACAACGCAGCCGTGGTCAAGTGGGCATGGGCAAGAACATACAGATGCGGGCTTCCTCCTGAGCATTCCCTGGGGTCTCAGAGAAGCCAGCACTCGATTCGGGGACAGCGTACCTCGTCCCCACGTTGAAGTCCTAGACATGCAGAACGGGGAGGCAGGATAATGTCTAACAACA